AAATGCAGTGCGTACTACAGCTTCTACCTTGATGAATGACACAAGCAGTAGGTCACATGCAATATTCACAGTCAGATTTCTACAGGTAATAACAATTCTGAAAATATAGCCGTTAAAAGTGCTTGGAATTACTATTATCCTTGAAAAGGGGTTGTATTCCATCTTTTTTGTTCTTGAAAAGTAGTACAAGAAAGTAATTGAAAAGTTCTCTTAGTAATTTCTAAAAATTGTATCAAAATTTTCTAACCTGAATGTAGAAAATAATTTGCATGAGGGAAAAATTCCCTGTATTATTATTATTATTATTATTATTATTATTATTATTATTATTATTATGCATATAAGGTTTATCTAATTTAACATCTTTGGATTATAGGCCAAGTTTGACAAAAACATGCCCAGTGAGACGCAGAGTAAAATTCACTTGGTTGATTTAGCTGGAAGGTAATAAGATTAATAATTTTAACAAAATATATAATATATCTTTAAAGGCATATAATAAATATACGTCTGTGTTTAATTTCACTCAAGAGACTGGATCTAATTCCTAATGCTGATAAATTGTCCAATTTAAAAAATCTCCTTAACTTATTATGTGTTTTAGTGAACGTGCTGATGCCACAGGTGCTACTGGTCAAAGACTTAAAGAAGGTGCTAGCATTAACAAGTCTCTAGTGACACTAGGGAATGTAATATCAACTCTTGGTGAGTCATTAGTCATGAGAGAGAGAAATTCAGCTTTCTGAGATGTCAGTGAATATTATATAATTGTTGACATTGCTGAGGTCTGCAGAAGTACACATTGCAAAATAAGCAAAAGCCAATCATTGTTTTTTTTTTTAATTTTAATACCTGAATGTCAATGTACTCAAAAATAACATCAGAAGTTCCAAAATTGTCGTTGTGTAGCATTGAATGATAATATGTGTTCTTTTCTCTGTGAAAATATCAGCAGTTATATCATGGACTTATAATGCGTGTGGTGGTGATATCTGTTAATAGTTTTGAGTTTAATAAGATCTCATTCCAGGATATAGGATCATTTTCAATGCTAATTATTATCAATTTTAGTTAATTACATTGTGGTATGTTATGCATTATTGTACGTTACATGTTTATATATATATTTCAGCTGATATGTCAGAAAAGGGTCCCAAGAGCCGCAATGTGTTTGTGCCATATCGAGATTCTGTATTAACGTGGTTACTAAAGGATAGCTTGGGAGGCAATGCAAAAACTGTTATGATAGCTAGTAAGTTGATGTACAAATTATTTGACAAAAATTTTGTAAGAAATTCCCTGCCATAACCATTTTTATTTAACTTTATACCAACATAACATCTGACAATTATTTTATTTTGAATTTCCATTTTATGAAATCATTTACAGTTATCCACCTGCATTTTTTTGATAGGCTTGTCATATTCCTCATAGTAGAAAAAAACTGGAATACTTGATTTTGTTAAGTAATTAACTTAATTTTTATTTCTTTATAAGCTATTTCCCCTTCAAGTGTCAACTATGGAGAGACCCTCAGTACTCTGAGATATGCCAACCGAGCAAAGAACATCATCAACAAGCCTACTGTTAATGAGGTTGGTAGAAAGAATTGAATGGTGTTGACTTCACTTTTTGTTTCAATGAAACAAGCAAACTTTTTTTTAATATTTGCATTATATGCTGTTACTCTATGTTACATGCTCTCAGTAGTTTTATTTAACATTTTTTTGTTATTAAAATTTCAATGTAATTTAAATTGTTAAGTTTTGATCTTAGAGTATTCACTGTAAAAACTCTCAAATGGACAATGTGGAAAATGTTTTGCTTAACATGTTTGGCCCCTTTTAAAGTATTATTATTATTATTGTTGTTGTTGTTGTTGTTATTCAATTGAGGATAGACATTGAATTGTTAGTTTTTAAAATCTAAGAGTATTTCTAGACTTCACTTTGATCACTTTCCCCGGTAATTAATTGTTTATTGTCTGCTTGCAAATTGTACTTTTTCTGTTTGATTTTGCAGGATCCAAATGTGAGGCTTATCCGTGAACTGAGGGCTGAAATTGAAAGGCTGAAGGCATTGCTAGGAGGAAACATAGTGAGTCACATATGGCGTCTCTCCGTTGAATTCAATTATTTTATGTTTCTCTTTCCTCTTTCATCCAATATTAAGTACAAAAAGGGTTTTAAGGGTATTATAGCAAGCTTTTGATTTTCTTTTATTTTACTGTAAAAAATTAATTATAAAATGTATTATATTGACTTATGTATATTGATGAAAATATTTATATTTTACAGACCACTGGTGAAGGGGTTTGTGACATTTGTTTTTAGATCTCTCAAATGCTGTTTCATGTATGGAAATCAATTATACTTTCCCAGGGATGCTTTTGCTTTTAAAGTACCCATATATTCCTTTGTGAGATAGGCTTTATGTGATTTTATGGTACAAAACTATTACAACTAAATTTGGCCTTATCTTTTAAACAAAAATACATTGATTTCCAACTAGATATTTGTTGAAGAATATTCATGAAAATGAATATTAGTTTTTGTAAATACAGAATAAAATTAAGAAATAAAATTTAATAATTTTTCATCTACAAATGTTAGGCAACTTATCCTTTCTGTTGTTATCCAAGAAATAGAGTGGCAAACCAGCGTTCAGTTATTGCATCCTTTCTATTAAATCCCTCATTCACATTACAATATCCAGAATAAAGAGTTGTGTCCCCTTGTTCCAATTTGTAATTTCCTAATTCATAATTTTCTTGAGAAATCAACTACACATTTGGGCTTTTCTTGTGTTGTGGTGCCTATAGCAACCTCAATTAACCACATCCTAAGTTAATGTTACTCTTCCTTGTTGCTTAATTGCAATTTCACATTCCAGGATAACATCACTGGGCCCAAAGTTCAAGAAAGACTACATGAGAGTGAGGCCAGAGTGAGTTTGACACAAGAAAAATTAAGGCTTATATTAAAACCTAGAAATTTGATTTATAGAAGTATTTGTTGTGTCAGCTTTTTAGTAAAAAATAAAACTTGTATGGAGAACACTACTCATATTCAATCTGATGCATAATTTTCAGATTTTGTTTGTATCACCTGTAACATTTTTTTAGGTGAAAGTGTTGACAGAGGAATGGACAGGAAAGTGGAAAGAAGCACAGAATATCTTGCAGGTAACTTGCCTTTTAATGTGTGTAATATTGAACCCATCTAAATAACAATGACAGTAACCAAAAAAAGTGTAAAGAGTGTTTAGAATAATACGTGAGGAGAATTTGAAAGATTTTTAATTTGTATTAATTCATATAAAATGAGCTTCAAGATGTTTTACTGTATAAGTAGAAGAACAGTTTGTTTGTAATACAATTTGGTATTGTATATATCTGTTGTTAAGTCGATGCCATTTTAATTTGTCCAGCAAGACAATAATCTGGCCTTAAAAAAAGAAGGGATGGGGATTGTCCTGGATTCCCAGTTGCCTCACCTGATTGGAATCGATGATGATCTGCTCAGCACAGGCATCATGTTGTACCATTTGAAGGTAAGATGTCATAATCTGTCCTGTAATTATTGTACCACCAGCGTTAGCGCTGGCGGTACACATGGTTTCGGTCTCGTCCGGATCGTTCCGCCGGCTCCGCCGGCTCCGCCGGTTCCGCCGGCTCCGCCNCAATGCAGTGCGTACTACAGCTTCTACCTTGATGAATGACACAAGCAGTAGGTCACATGCAATATTCACAGTCAGATTTCTACAGGTAATAACAATTCTGAAAATATAGCCGTTAAAAGTGCTTGGAATTACTATTATCCTTGAAAAGGGGTTGTATTCCATCTCTTTTTTGTTCTTGAAAAGTAGTACAAGAAAGTAATTGAAAAGTTCTCTTAGTAATTTCTAAAAATTGTATCAAAATTTTCTAACCTGAATGTAGAAAATAATTTGCATGAGGGAAAAATTCCCTGTATTATTATTATTATTATTATTATTATTATTATTATTATTATTATGCATATAAGGCTTATCTAATCTAACATGTTTGGATTATAGGCCAAGTTTGACAAAAACATGCCCAGTGAGACGCAGAGTAAAATTCACTTGGTTGATTTAGCTGGAAGGTAATAAGATTAATAATTTTAACAAAATATACAATATACCTTAAAGGCATATAATAAATACATGTCTGTGTTTAATTTCACTCAAGAGACTGGCTTTAAATCCTAATGCTGATAATCTGTCCAATTAAAAAAATCTCTTTAATTAATTGTGTTTTAGTGAACGTGCTGATGCCACAGGTGCTACTGGTCAAAGACTGAAAGAAGGTGCTAGCATTAACAAGTCTCTAGTGACGCTAGGGAATGTAATATCAACTCTTGGTGAGTCATTAGTGATGAGAGAGAGAGATTCAGTTTCTGAGATGTCAGTGAATATTATATAATTGTTGACATTGCTGAGGTCTGCAGAAGTACACATTGCAAAATAAGCAAAAGCCAATCATTGTTTTTTTTATATTTTAATACCTGAATGACAATGTACTCAAAAATAACATCAGAAGTTCCAAAATTGTCGTTGTGTAGCATTGAATGATAATATGTGTTCTTTTCTCTGTGAAAATATCAGCAGTTATATCATGGACTTATAATGCGTGTGGTGGTGATATCTGTTAATAGTTTTGAGTTTAATCAGACCTCATTTCAGGATATAAGATCATTTTCAATGCTAATTATGTATCAATTTTAGTTATTTACATTGTGGTATGTTATGCATTATTGTACGTTACATGTTTATATATATATTTCAGCTGATATGTCAGAAAAGGGTCCCAAGAGCCGCAATGTGTTTGTGCCATATCGAGATTCTGTATTAACGTGGTTACTAAAGGACAGCTTGGGAGGCAATGCAAAAACTGTTATGATAGCTAGTAAGTTGATGTACAAATTATTTGAGAAAAATTTTGTAAGAAATTCACTGCCATAACCATTTTTATTTAACTTTATACCAACATAACATCTGACAATTATTTTATTTCGAATTTCCATTTTATGAAATCATTTACAGTTATCCACCTGCATTTTTTTGATAGGCTTGTCATATTCCTCATACTAGAAAAAAACTGGAATACTTGTTAAGTAATTAACTTAATTTTTATTTCTTTATAAGCTATTTCCCCTTCAAGCGTCAACTATGGAGAGACCCTCAGTACTCTGAGATATGCCAACCGAGCAAAGAACATCATCAACAAGCCTACTGTTAATGAGGTTGGTAGAAAGAATTGAATGGTGTTGACTTCACTTTTTCTTTCAATGAAACAAGCAAAATTTTTTTTAATATTTGCATTATATGCTGTTATTCTATGTTACATGCTCCCAGTAGTTTTATTTAACATATTTTTTGTTTTTAAAATTTCAATGTAATTTAAATTGTTAAGTTTTGATCTTAGAGTATCCACTGTAAAAACTCTCAAATGGACAATGTGGAAAATGTTTTGCTTAACATGTTTGGCCCCTTTTAAAGTACTATTATTATTATTATTATTATTATTATTATTATTATTATTATTATTATTGTTGTTGTTGTTGTTGTTCAATTGAGGGTAGACATTGAATTGTTAGTTTTTAAAATCTAAGAGTATTTCTAGACTTCACTTTGATCACTTTCCCCAATAATTAATTGTTTATTGTCTGCTTGCAAATTGTACTTTTTCTGTTTGATTTTGCAGGATCCAAATGTGAGGCTTATCCGTGAACTGAGGGCTGAAATTGAAAGGCTAAAGGCATTGCTAGGAGGAAACATAGTGAGTCACATATGGCGTCTCTCCGTTGAATTCAATTATTTTGTGTTTCTCTTTCCTCTTTTATCCAATATTAAGTACAAAAAGGGTTTTATGAGTACTATAGCAAGCTTTTGGTTTTCTTTTATTTTACTGTAAAAATTAATTATAAAATGTATTATATTGACTTCTGTATATTGATGAAAATATTTATATTTTACAGACCACTGGTGAAGGGGTTTGTGACATTTGTTTTTAGATCTCTCAAATGCTGTTTCATGTATGGAAATCAATTATACTTTCCCAGGGATGCTTTTGCTTTTAAAGTACCCATATATTCCTTTGTGAGATAGGCTTTATGTGATTTTATGGTACAAAACTATTACAACAAAATTTGGCCTTATTTTTTAAACAAAAATAAATTGATTTCCAACTAGATATTTGTGGAAGAATATTCATGAAAATGAATATTAGTTTTTGTAAATACAGAATAAAATTAAGAAATAAAATTAAATAATTTATCTACAAATGTTAGGCAACATTTTACATTTCTTACTCTGATATTATTTGACTTATCCTTTCTGTTGTTACCCAAGAAATAGAGTGGCAAACCAGAGTTGCGTCCCCTTGTTCCAATTTGTAATTTCCTAATTCTTGAGAAATCAACTACACATTTGGGCTTTTCTTGTGTTGTGGTGCCTATAGCAACCTCAATTAACCACATCCTAAGTTAATGTTACTCTTCCTTGTTGCTTAATTGCAATTTCGTATTCCAGGACAACATCACTGGGCCCAAAGTTCAAGAAAGACTACACGAGAGTGAGGCCAGAGTGAGTTTGACACAAGAAAAATTAAGGCTTATATTAAAGCCTAGAAATTTGTTTTATAGAAGTATTTGTTGTGTCAGCTTTTTAGTAAAAAATAAAACTTGTATGGAGAACACTACTCATATTCAATCTGATGCATAATTTTCAGATTTTGCTTGTATCACCTGTAACATTTTTTTTAGGTGAAAGTGTTGACAGAGGAATGGACAGGAAAGTGGAAAGAAGCACAGAATATCTTGCAGGTAACTTGCCTTTTATTGTTTGTAATATTGAACCCATCTAAATAACAATGACAGTAACCAAAACAAGTGTAAAGAGTGTTTAGAATAATGCGTGAGGAGAATTTGAAAGATTTTAAATTTGTATTAAATCATATAAAATGAGCTTCAAGATGGTTTACTGTATAAGTAGAAGAACAGTTTGTTTGTAATACAATTTGGTATTGTATATATCCGTTGTTAAGTCGATGCCATTTTAATTTGTCCAGCAAGACAATAATCTGGCTTTAAAAAAGGAAGGGATGGGGATTGTCTTGGATTCCCAGTTGCCTCACCTGATTGGAATCGATGATGATCTGCTCAGCACGGGCATCATGTTGTACCATTTGAAGGTAAGATGTCATAATCTGTCCTATAATTATCCACTACTGACAATTGTGATGTTCACTTTTATTTTGAATAGTGATATAAATTATTCTGGGGCAAATCTTGCCTCAGTTATATTCCAAATTTGAGTTAAAAATTCTCTCTCTCTCTCTCTCTCTCTCTCTCTCTCTCTCTCTCTCTCTCTCTCTGTACATTAATGATTTTGAACAAAAATCTTCATTATTTGGAATAGGCGTCAAAAGTTTTAGAAAATTGTTAAATTATTTCTGAATATAATATGCTGTATACATTAACAGGAGGGGAGGACATCAATAGGAAGAGCTGATGCAGAAGTACAGCCAGACATAGGTAAGGATACAGAAATATGGAACTAATATCTGCACATTGACAATACTTCTTAAGGTAGTGGAATTTAAATGTATATGCTTAGATGTTTATTGTGCTCCTTTTCTGTGATAGTATATAAAGTAATGATATCTTTAAGAGCAAAAACAATCTACAATGGATGATACAATGCACATACTTCAGTTACTTATATTATAAGATGTTAAAGAATATTTATGACAGAAGTAGCAGATTGTAAACTGAAAAAATCTATTATGAAGTGACTTTCCAGTTAAGTTTTATTTTTAGTTGTCATACTTTACAATTAAGTTTTCATTTTTCTTAGCGCTCTCTGGTCTGGAGGTGGAAAAGGAACACTGTTATATTGATAATGTGGATGGCATTGTCACTTTAAGTCCCATTGCTGATGCTATATGCACAGTGAATGGTGTCAGTATAGAGGAACCAACTAAACTTTACCAAGGTGAGTGTACTTTATCTTATTTTATAGATTTGATTTTCACTTACTGTTGCTGCTGAAGATCTATTTTGTTGTTAATTTTGCTGAACAATGCAAGAATCGCTCTTTAGTGCTAACAGTTGTGGTTTCATTTTGAGTTGTGTTGGAGGAGGCAAGATGCCCCATTTTCTTATCATTAGCATTTCCCCCAAAAAATATTTTTATGTATACAGACATTATGGGCTAAGCAAGGTGAAAGTGATGTTTTAAGTGGTTAAACAATCTTAGCTAAAATAATATTGATTGTCCATCTTTTTTATGTACAGACACAGATGTGTCTGTACATATTGCCATCACCTGCGTCTGTCGTCGCCGATGCCGATGGCGATGCCGTCGCCGGCGCCGGCGCCGTGCACTTTCCATTAGAGAAAAATGTTGATGAGCTGTTTTATACTTGATATGTCACCTCTTCCTTTAATTACATGGTGGACAATAGATTTGATTCTGTCAAGGGATTAATTCCATATTGATATTTTCCAGGTGCTGTCATTCTGTTGGGTAAGACAAACATGTTTCGTTTCAACCACCCAAAGGAAGCTGCCAGACTTAGACAAGAGCGGAAATTACTCAGTCCGGACATGGTATGTTGCTCTTGTCCATAAGTCTTGCAAAAATTGAGCATTTCATAGGTTTGCTACATGTTTGACAGTGTTAGCTGCACACATATTTGTTTCAAACTTTTCCCCTGATTTAGTCAAATGATTATGCATGTTTATTTTATATTTTATTCATAGTATTCTTTACTTCATTTTACATTAACTTTATTTTGTTTTTAGAAGGGTGGTTTAGGCAAGCAGTGGTCTTCAAGGGTATCCCTCCTTAGTGCATCCATGACTGACCTGTCAAGGGCAAGGTCGACTGACAACCTGTCAATGTTTTCAGGCTTAGGGTTAGTTATTAACCAGTTGTACATTATACCAACCACAGTGGATGGCTATACTACTGTGGATGCCAAGAACAAAAGATCCAGATATGTTGTATCTTGCATACAGTCGTGCACATCACACATGATTGCGAGATCCACCACATTTGGATCTTTACCTTTCTACATCAGTTATAATATAATTAAGATACACTTCTCATGTTTTGCACTTGTGTATGTTGCATACACTTCACTGACTTGTGATGTATCTTTTACTTAACATGCCAGTCTACAAGATGAAGCTACTGTTTTTGTGTGTCAAACTGTTGGAAAGTTAGCTGCTACTAATTATAAAATTGAAGAGGGAAAAATTATGCAATTATGCATTATAGAATTTTGTTCAAGTACATTATTTAGAATATTCTACTTTGTGCATTTGTTGAGAAGGAAGAAGTGCAAGAGGTTTTCAAGGCACATCTCATGGAGATGTTCTTTGTGCTTTTTTACAGGAATGATTTGGAGCAGAGGCACAAAAATGAGCTGGTTAACTTGGAGGCCAAGCGACAAGAAATAGAGGATTTAGAAGAGAAGTTTCGCCAGCATGAGGATGCAAGACAAGCTGAACAAGAGAGCAAGGAGAATGAGCTGGAAAAGGCAAAGTCAGAGTTAGAGGGCATGAAGCAGCATTTGAAACAGTGGAAGGAAGATGAGATGAAAGGAGAGTGGCAGAAATTGGAAGAGGAAAGGGAATACTTGCATAGAAAAATGGACGAAGAGAGAAAAAAATTAGAAGAAATGGAGAGGAATTATCATAAATCTGTGATGGAGGCAGAACAGGAGCTTATTGAGGTATTTGTATTATTTCAACTGAGAAACATTCTTAGACTTGGAGAAAAAAAATTGGTTGCCAGGCCATTTCTTTGTGTATATACAACAAAAGTGTGTCAGATAATATCATCTGCCTGTCCTTATTTTTCATACTTTTTCATGTATTTGTATCAGTGCATGCACATTTGAGGGTGGATTAGATTATCCAAAATAAGTATATTTTGTAATGATATATTTCTCATGTTGAGGATAAACTTGAAAGGTTGATATAACAAGTCTTGCACTTTATTTGTTAAACTTCTGAGAGGCACTCTATTGAAAGAATCCTTGCATTTGTTGTGTGATAATTGTATTTGGTTATTTGTTACATGTCTGTTCTTATACCTTTTGGTAATCAAACTTGTGTAATTTGTTTTGAAACCAGTATAAACAATGTCTTTCTAGGCACTGGAAACATTTGAGAAAGAAAAACAGCTTCAGCAAGAAACATTGGAAGAAGAATGGAAACGAATTGAAGACAAAGACAGAGAGCAGCAAGAAAAAGTGCGATATTTAGAAGAAGAAATTGCCAGAAAGAGGGAACTTGTACAGAGAGAAAAGGCAGAGGTGAAATGTCAGGAGATGGTAGGGAATACCTGTGATATCACCCCTCAAAAGTAAAACAAAGGCAGTTTTCGTAGTTTTTTTTAATGACATCATAGTTAAGACATTTTTGGTGATGGTAACTTTCTCTAAAGTCCAGGGCTGCTTTAGTAAAGATATAGCACCAGAAATATGATTTTAAGCTATACCATATGTATATATCTCTCTGTCATATATATATTTATAAATGCCTTTGCAGTTAAGAACCAAACTAAAATGGTGGTTGTATGGTATTCCCTTCTTGTCTGTGCTTTCTTTTAAGTGTTAAAGATATGATTAAAAAAGTTGCTTTGCATGTATGAATTATTGGAGGTGTTTAATGCAACAAAGGTCTACAGGATGCTGCCAGTTAGGATTTTCTTCCAAAATATCATTCTTTGCATGAGTAGTGTATAGAGGTAAAACAGGTTATTTAATTGTGTTTCGGTTTGATAGATGTATTAACAGAATACTAATAAGAATCATATAAGTTTGCTACAAAAGATAAAAGTTAAATAAAAATATTACATATCCATAATTTACTTTTTATCAAGTGTATGATATTAAAAAGTATTTGGTTGTATTTGGAAAATCAATAATGCGTATGTACATAGTGTGTTAAAAGTGCATAGTTTTTAAGACTGAAGGTCTCAGTTCCTGCATTTTGTCTGCTAAGTGTAAACGTTTATGAGTTTATTTTTTCAAATTGATAAAAGGAATACAAGCGTGGTCAGCAGGTGATTCCAAAAATAAGCACTTCACTTGATAGATAAAATGTTTTCATTTTTAGGAACTCAATTTAATGGAAGAGGAAAGACATCGTCTGCTCAGCCAAGAGGAAGGTGGTTCCTTCAATTCTGAAACAGTGGAAACATGGTCTGATGAATATGCAGCTATTCAGCATGCACTATCAGACCTTGACACAAGAGAAGAAACACTAGAAAATGACTATGAGGAGGCGAAGGCAGAACTCCAATATGAGCATAACAAATTAGAATCAGAATTGAAACTAGAAAGGGATGATTTAAGAAAAAGTCAAAGAGCGCTTGATGAAATGGAAGCAAAATATAAAGCTGCTTCAGAAGCAGCAAATGTTGACAGTGAAGAAGAGAGGCAAGAGGTAGAGCAGCAATTCATTGCTTTACAAACAATGAAGAAAAATCACAAAGAAAAAGAAAACTGCCTTGAAGAAAAAGAAAAGGAATACAGCCAAAAGAAAATATCCGAGATGCAGCAGTTACAGGAGTACAAAGACCAGGAGACGAAAAAAATAACAGAGGACAGGACAGGCCTTAGAGACAGAGGAAATAATATTTTACAATTAGTGGAGCAGGAATTAACATCAAAAAGTAAACTCTTACAGGAACACAAATTGAAAGTTCTCCAAGAAGAACACATTTTATCTGAATTGGAGAAAAAACATGAAGGTCTTGTGAAGGTTTCTTTTGAACAAAGGGGGTGTATTGATCAAGAGAAGCAAAAATTGCTCAATGCACAGAAAGAGGAAGAAAGGCATGCAGAGGCTCAGGTTGACGAAAAGAGGGAGTCCGTGGAATCCAGGAAAAGCCAAGGGCATGAAGTCCTGGAGGGACAGAGAAGCAGGTGAGGCAGAAGTAATACCAAATGTAATTTGCTTTATAAGGGTTATTTTGAATATCTACAAACCTTTATGAATTGTCACAGTTATAAAATTATGCATGTGCATAAATTTGTTCAAGAAAAAGTATTTAGTCAATAGTTTCAGAGTTATAATTTAACAGCTTCCAGCATAGAATCAGTTTGAGAATGAAATTATGCATGTGTATGAATTTGTTAAAGAAAACATAAGTATTTAGTCAATAGTTTCAGAGAGTAATAATTTAACAGCTTCCAGCTTAGAATCAGTTTGAGAATGAAATTATGCATGTGCATGAATTAGTTAAAGAAAGCATATTAAGTATTTAGTCAATAGTTC